GTCACCATACGTAGTCACAGTTCCACCCTTGGAGCCTTGAAGGGGTCCACTGGAGGCACGTATTAAACTTGTAGGTTCGCAAAAGAGACCTATTCCAGAACTCCTCAGTTAGAAGCGCGAGGACGTAGCGGGGGTGGAGGTGGGGGTCTTCAAGTAGCATACTTCCCCGCTCATTCTTAAACAGGGCTGCTGACCAGACTTGTGGGGTCTCATGGAAATAAAGAGGCCCTGGTTCAGAAATGCAGGAGAAAGGCCAGGCTTTCCACTTAGTTAGTGTTGGAAACCCCAGGGGCGGTTGTCCTCTGTCCTGTTGGGTGGTCTTGAGTGGTATTCGACTGGAGGGCAGTGGGTTTGGTTTTGGCTTTGTTCAAAAACCAAGAACTTCAAGACGGGGCTCGCAGAGCATTAAAGCCAGCAAGTGGGTCCTGTGTCAGAGATGCTTCCGGTGCATGTGACTTGAGTATTAGCTGCGTGGGGTTGAGTGTGGTGGCGACAGGCAGCCGTGGAAGGGAATGTGGACTCTGCTCTGTGTAAACTAGAGTCCTTGGGGGGCACCAGTGAGTAATGTGTCCTGCTGCTGACGAAAGGAGCAGAGGGTTTAGTTCACCCCGGAAGCCTTGGAAGAGGGGGCTGGCAGTGTGGGTGTGACAAACCGCCTGGCAGAGCTCAGTTCCGCTCTGGTGCCCAGGCATCAGACTGGCTGGACAGCACAGGTTGGGGACCTGTGAATTGTGTGTCTTTGGACACGTTTCTAACTCGGGTGAAGCGACATGACGTTGGCAGTAAATATTGTGATGACTTTGATCTCAAAAAAATCATTTCAAAACTATGAACTCGGTTCGGTATTACAGTACATGCTGCCTATGTTGGTGTTCCGATGTGAGGCTGGGAGGATGGAAAATATCGCAGTCCTGCCTGCCGGGTCGCTAACCAAGTGAGACAGTGGGATGGACGTGTGCCCAGGGGCTGTGGGGGTAATTCGGAACAATTAGGGACAATCTCTCTATTAGATGCCAGTGAAGGTAGAGTCTGAAGGAAGACCTAGGAATTAGAGGAAGGGGTGGTGGGCGCGTGCGCGGTGTGTGTGTGTG